GGGGGGCACTGCTCGCTCAGGGGAGGCACAGAGGTGGCCGCTGTGGACAGCGGGGGAAGTGCTTTCCGTCATGGATACTCATCCTTTGTGGTCTTCTCAGCATTCCAACAGGAAGCAAATACCAGTACTTTGAAAGAGGTCCAAACGTACCCTTAACAAAGGTGGTACATCGAGGCATCAACTGGAATGTGCATATTCGACATTTCTCTACATCACTTCTCTTGTTGATGAGAAAAAATTATATATATTTTTTTTGTATCTGTACTCTTTTTGAATTCCTGCAAGAAAACTGAATACTGCCCCTCACTAGCGATATTTTTTTAGACTAAGGGTGCCAAGTCTTGGTTTCAAGCCTTGGTCACTGGAACAGGAACCTGTTAAACCCTCACGAAATGACGTCAGACTGTGGGACACACAGCCAGGTCCAGCTGTGACAGATTAGGCTTGGCATTAGGAGACCGACTGGGGTCCACTGTCACAGCTGTCACAGCTGTCACACCCAGACTGTTAAGATGGTCAGTGGCGTGATGCCCGGCCTCTGTTGTCATTGCCAGGGCCGACGGACCGTGTTCGTCTCTGAACCATGAAGTTCGACCGGAGGAAACAACTCCCGAATCGAAAAAGGGCGGGAAAACAGGGGAGGCTTTCGCCTTCCTTGCCAAGTTGAGTGCCCGAGATCCCGATATCCAAGCCATTTACGTCGACGAAAAAGAGGAAAGTCTTCTGAGGAAAGTCACTTCTGCGTAGAGGCAAATCAAAGGCGCTTCTCACACACACCAAGTCTAGCTTTCTGGATTTGGGGGGGGACATGAGACAGCCATTGTTATGAAGATAAGTGGGGTGTTTGCCCGCTGTTAGCATTCCAATTGGTTTATAGACGGAATGTTTGAGAAAGCACCCCCCTCCCCCTTGTTTATATGTGCCAGGTGATAAAAGATCTGCGTCCTGAGCCCCCGCATCACCCCGCCCCACATGACGAACCCGGCCTGTATCGGTGACAAAGGCACCACAGATTAAACCAAGGGTCACATGACTCTGCTGCCGCGTCACACGTTAGTGACGCTGAGGACTAACACAGAGGGATTAAAGCCAATTAGGACCCAACTCATCCAACCACGGCTAATTACCGCCATTTAAAACCCACTGGCACACGATCTGCTATGCAATGCCAGAGGGGCCTTCAGAATGGTAGGTGAATGTCAACCATATTGGTTCAACGTCCTTAAGGACGGACTCTCTGATGCAGTAGAGAGCCGAGCCTCTTGAATGGGTTTAGTTAAGCTCTTCATATACTTACGTAAAATGCTCCATTTACATTTCCAGATGTCCCGACCCAGCGCTCGGAGCCCAAGTTTCACCCTCACCTGCATATTTGTTGTTTGTGTTTGTATGTCTCAAAGGAGAGCATTATGGGATTTGTGAAAAGAATCATTCCAATGTGCCTGTACTTGTGGAAGTGGTAAATAAAGAATAATAATAATTATTATTATTGTTATTGTTGCTGTTGTTGTATGTCACTTAATAGTCACCTCAGTCACCTCAAATAATGCCCTAATTCTGGAGGAGATTTGCCTATTTAAATACCGTTTCCTTTCATTTTCATTGTGCCTTCCACAAAGTTATCTGCCCGACCATAAACTAATAAAGCTACTGGTTGTTTACATTTTTACTGACCCCACAATGCGTCCCATCCTGGTAAACGCACTGGGGGTGAATACAGTGTGTCTGACTGGTGTAAAGAGCTGACCCGCCCCCCCTCAGGCTGTGGAAATAAACCCAGTATATAAATCTCGCACCCAAGATCACTCCCCCTTGTCACCAAGTACAATTCCCAACACAAAAAAGCAAGATAACCGCCAGAAAATACATAGGTTTATTTGGTTGGCCGCACTTGACAATAACACAACTTACTTTGAACTTCTCTGAGACGTGGTGCTGAATGACAACCAGTATTTGTGGTGCGAGGACATTATTGATGTCGCTGTCGCGGCCTCGGCGGTCTGGGTGGATGTGTCCTACCGCGGCCAGGCTGGGCCGGTCAGGTGATCTCCAGCAGAAGCTTCCGATGCATGGGGACCTCGAGGCAAACATGTAGAAGCTTCTTCAGGAGAAGCCCAAAAAAGCAGTGTGGTGTTTGGCTCTGTGGGATACAACACAGCACTGGTGATCATAAGGTTGTTGCTTCAAATCCCACCGCTGTCAGAGTGATTCCCCTATATGAGACCCTTAACCCCCCAGGAATAAACAGGCCCTGCTTTCTCCAACAAAATGTGCATTGCTTTAGATAAAAACATCTACTAAGCAAGAATGTATGAAAATTCCCCTCCCCCAAAAATGAAACCCAATTGCCCCCCACCCTGGCAAACTTGAAAGCTGGCCTGAGATCTTCTCTTCTGCTAGAGAGCACTTTACATGAACTTTCTGTGTGTGATCATCCATCCATCCATCCATCCATCTTCCGTATCGTTTATTCAGTGGGGGTCGCTGTGAGCCAGGGGCCGATCCCAGGAAGCAGAGAGCAGGGGGAGACACCCTAGATGGGATGATTTACTGAACGATGAGAAATTAAAGCCTAATTGCTCCTCGGCCCTGCTTTTGTCTGTGCAATTTAGTGAGATTCTAACACGATGCTAACTTCACTAAATTCATCATGCCGCACTCAGCGCAGCACAATGTGATAGGATGAGAAAAGACATGCTTGAATCCTGGTCGATACTTACTGTACTGCTAATTATTCAACTTAGCTAATTGAAATTAAATTGATAGTTTGTGAGGTTTGACAAATTCTTGTTTCACTGACAGTTCAATTCTAAATAATGGTAAACAAAAAATAAAAGCCGGTAAATACATTGACTAAAAGAGGTCACAATAATTTAATAATTCGTTATTGCCTATATTCATTATGTTTCAAAGGCTCTACTTTGCCAGCGACTACATGCATTTTCAAACAAGCAAACTGCACTAAGGCCCCGAATGATGTTCCAACAGCCAAATGCACAGCATTTGCACCAAGAGTCAGCGGATGGTGAGGCTTTGTTATTCATGTAGAGGCAAAATTAGCCTTATATGGGCACCAGCTTTCTGCTGTGTTTGCTGGTTTAATTCTCACAGGCCACACCGCAAACCTGCATGCGCCGGTTTCCATGGAAACCAGGTGGTTCTGAATTGGGAAGAATTGATAACCATGTTGTATAACAAAAAAAAAGAACAGCATGCAATATGCAGGCGTATGTCATAACAAGGCCTCTGCTGGTCCAGAAAGGCTCCCCATTCCAGACACGCACCACGTGATAAACAGCCGGGAAAGTGCTGAAATACATGCGAGAAGTGCAGCCGGTGAACACCTCGCATGTGTGGTCGCAGTCAGGGAGTGCAGCAGCTGCTGGAGAAGCATGCGGCACCGTCGGCGTCTAAGGATCTCCGTGAGGAATGCGCGACATTTTTGCAAACGTCATAAAGCAATAAATAACGTCTTCAAGGACGTTTGAGGGGGAAAAAAAAACAGTAAAACAAAACAAGAACAGTCTCATCCCTCCTGGGTCTGTTCATTGGTGGTGGTGGTGGGGGGGGCGGGGGGGTGGGGTTAAAGATGCTGAACGGTTTTTCTGCTCACTTTCTCAGCGGCTCCATTAGCATCATGCTGTGTTTTAATCCTAATTGACTTGTAAGAGCCCAGACATTTCATCTTAACGTGGTAATTCATTAGGTCCACCTTAAAACAACTCCAGTTCAGGGTTCAGAAGGCAGGTCTCCTGTGCATCACAGGACTGGACCGTCGCCTTTCATTTAGGACCATGGAAGACGTATATATGCGTATATAAGCGCACACAAAAACTTTATTTGTGGAATCATTTATATTTGGAAAAAATGTGAAGATATAATGCAGAATGAAGTTGCTCAACTTTTTAGCATTTGGAGGGAAAAACAGGATAAATGGAGCAGAATGCATCTGAATGGGGGGGGGGGGATAAAGTCATACTCAATCGTCTGTTTGGTTTTAAAAACTAAGATATAACCTTTTGTTTTATACGGATATAATTCAGGCTTTTAATAAAGTTTTATCGGTTTGCATAGTCATTTTTAGGCAACTTCTTGTGATTGTTCATCACTGCATTCTTAATGCTTACTCAGTCCCCCCCCCCCCTCCACCCCCACCATGTAGGGAAGCAAAATCTGAAAACTGGGCCTTTTCCGATTCCATTTTCCTTCAATGACAACTTTCAATTTTGCAAGCATCCCAGCCGCATAAAAGATCCCTGCACCACATTCTTTTTTTTTGGGGGGGGGGGGGAGAGACGCAGACTCAGATATTCCGCTGCCTGTTAACTTTAATGACCGAGAGGACAAATCTGGAGCATCTGAGGCGTTTTCCATATGAAATGAGGCTGCAACTAACAAACTGGGACTGAAATTAGGCACAGGGGAGTAAATGCACATTAATTCTATGCGGCTACTGAATCTGGCCATTAAAGTCAACAATGGGGCTGCACAGCTAGGTGTCCTGGCGTCCGGGATCCAGATGTGCTGGGGGGGGGGGGGGGGGGGGGGGGGGCGGGGGGGGGGGGGGGGGGGGGGGGGGAAGCAGGACTCCACACACAGGAGGCTCCCAACACCCAGGGCAGGGGGAGGGAGGGGGCACACAAAGGCCTCTCATTAAGGCAAAGTGTTCACAGATTCATGTCCCGATGGTTGGCACTTCGCAGCCTGTTTACGTCCCATTCAGAGGGACTGGGGGCCCACACTGGTCTGTGGGGCAGTGGGGTTAGAGCTGTATGTGTGCATGTCTGTCGGAGGGGGAGGGGGGCAGGGGGAGGGGGGCAGGGGGTCTTCCTGTCACTTCTATTACCTTATACATGTGGGGTCAATATGTGCAATGCAAGGTCTCACATTTGCAAATGGGGCTGGGATCCCCCTCCCAGCCGGCCGATTTACATAGTCCCCCCTCCCTCATGCTATAAAAAGAGGGGGAGGCTGCTTCATTGTTCACAAGGGCTTCCTAGCTCATCCTCAGCTGGACAATTACCGTTGGCATTGGTGAAGAGCCACTAAGTTTTTTTTTTTCTCCATCAGTAAGCGAGAGACACAGGGGGAGTTTTAGTCATCCGCAGACAGGAGACCAGCGACGAGAGAGACACAGCGGTGGCTGAACCTGGTATCCTCACCGAATGTGGTCATTATCCTAGCCAGACCGTGCTCCATACCTCGGCCAGGAAGCTTCTCTGCAGCGAGACTCCTACCCGGATTCCCCTGAAGACCACCGGCCCCTTCCGGCACCAAAATGAGGATACTGAACTTCTTCTACATCCTTCTCCTCCTTGCGACTTTCCTCTTGTTAGTTAAGGGGCAGAGACCAGGTATGTGAGCCTGAGAACAACATCCATGATTTAAAGTTCCTCATGTTTGCTGATAGTTTCTCAATAATGATCTTCAGTGGTGAGTAGGAAGGTGCAAATATTTTCTGAGCAAAATTATCGCATTTTTTTTTGGGGGACTATTATTTATTGGATTTGAATACGTTATAATTTAAGTGTTTTTAATAATCCTTTTCCAGTTTAAAATGACAAATTTTCATTAAATTAGGTACTAAAATACGACTACCTTTTAGATATTTTTCTTCAAAAAGATTGTCCAACGTTATGAAGTGATGAGCAATGAGAGCTTTAATTTTACTGTAGTTCATAACATCAAGGAAAATCCTAATTCAAAATCCAAGCCTAAAATCACATATGTATGTTTCTACAGGCCATGCGGTTTTCCTCATAAATCAGAATTGCATTAACGTTGTGGAGTCAATGACTTTTGCTCCAGCCAAGCTTATAATTCATGCTTACCAGGCAATCTGAAATCTACCTGTCTGTTTGCTTAGAAAATCGAGTTTGATGGTGGAACTGACTATCACAGGTCTTGCAGTGAACTGACCCTTTGCATCCTGGTACTTAAATTTCAGGTTTTTTTTAAAATCCACCCTCCAGAGTTTTATCTGCTTTCCATTATACCCAATTTTCTTAGAAATAAGCTCTCGTTCCAAGTGAAATTGTCCAAGTGAACAGCTGGTACAAGGGGCATTGACCTCCAGCAGACCATGCTGCTCCTCTTAACAGTGGAAAGACTTGCCTGCTTGTATGTTTTACTTGTTTCTGAGAAGAATGTCCCTGTTATTTTTACATTTGGTGACTTTAAAGGACGTCTGCAGAAGTTTCTTAAGTTACCAGGTCAGCATTCGAGTGAAATAACACAAGCAATCATCCTATGATGCAAATATGACTGCCAACACGTGGTTTGTCCTTTTTCTCGACAGATTTCCTGAATCTGAAGCGAAAGTACCACAGGCATCACTGCCCACACAGAAGATGCATGCCTCTTCACTCAAGAGTACCATTCCCCTGAAGCACCGAATGGTACGTTCCTGACCTAAAACTACATCTACACTCCTTGGCAAAAGGGGCCTAGGAATCAGGGGGACGGGGGGGGTCAAGCTCTCTCCTGCACCCTGCCCTGGCAATTAATAAATTATTCTGTCAGAACATTTTTACAGATGCACATTTTCCCAAATATTTAAGTTTACTTGGCATTGTTTTGCTATATTTAGGGTGGCACGCATGTCTGCAGGCTTTCACCCTCAGATTTTACAGTCCAGCAGTAATTAAAAAAAAAAATACAGGAAGTATCCAGAAAAAGATCATAGTCTGAAGAGCCTCTATCCCCTCATAGCTGGGGAAACAGGCAGGAGGAGCCTTAATCTGATTGGGGTACATTCCTTTACACCAGCAATTGCATTGTAAGGAAGCTCTTTAAGCTCTTTGTTGACGTCCAGACTGATACAGGGAGAAGTGGTGAGGATCATCATTTTGTATCATCACAGATCCAATCTGAAGTAGTCAGGCCGTGCCGATCGAGCGAGCGGAAGCTAATGGATCAGGGTAGCATGTGACTGATAAGATAAGTCGTGGAGGTGTCACCGAACCTTTAAAGACATTTACGATCCGGGCGCTCATTTCAATATGAAGCCAAGACTACAACAACAAGTGAAATTTTCCATTTTACTACCCTTGGGGGCCGCCTACTGCCGTGTGACTTGCGTTTTAAGTTCCCTTTGCATTGTTGTCCTCAAAAAACTCAAAACACTGTCACCATTTCTGAGGGAACTCATGGAAAAATTCCGCGAGGAGCTTAGCGTTGGATCCCAAAACTAATTAGCGGGATGTCCCTAAGCACGGCTGCTTTCTTAGCATGCCAGGCCGAGCTCAACGTCCCATCCTGTATGGCATTATTATCCCCCTAGGTGGCTAAATAGAATTAATCAACACGAGCTTCGTCTACCCACCGCCTGCTACGTTGGAACGTTCCCTACTTACGTATGCTCGGCTTAAACACCTGTCAAATATTACAGTGTATAGTGGGCTGGATTATCGCAGGCTTCTAGCGAACTTATCCTTAAGAAGGCTAGCAGCTTAGTGCTTACGAAGGATTGACGAAATTCAATACGAGTTCCCACCGCGAAGGTTTTATGGTTCTTTGGACGTTTACTGTGTATGATTTGATGTGCATGAGCAAAGGAAGGAGTATTATGCTCCCTTACTTGATTGTATATTTAGACTGATGAGAAAATGGATGGTGATTTCTTTAAGCCTCACATGGGCAAATAGAAGAAGAATATACGCTATACTTATATAGCGTGAGCTTTGGGGTAGCTAAGGTTTACATGCTAAATCTGGCCACAATGTATCCATCACGGTGCCTTACAAAGATGCCCTGTTGTGCCCATAAGAAAAGAGAGTAATTAGTCATTTAATGAGGGTGAAAATATTTTTACGCACTCAGTCTTTAAGTAACGGTAAACATTGTGTCCAAGGACAAATGTAACCGAATGTAAACAAACTTCAATTTAAATCCCACTAACGATGTCCTGTTATTATACGCTGTCAGTATTTTGAAGGAATGTTTTAAACACTTACTAGGCCTTTGTGATATATAAAGGGAGGGTCATCACCTTCACCCTTGGCCAGGCTGACCCCCATTCAGCCCAAACCAGCTGGTAACTGTTGCTCTAAATTCTGGAGACACGTGACCTCATAATCTCTCAGGCTGGCTGAGTGAATTCAACGTGGCAACGAAAAGGATATCCAGTGCGATTGGGCAACCAAGTCAAAAAGCAACAAAAAAAACACTCTATTGAACACTGAACTGCACCAGGGTCCCCTTTTGCAGTCTGAGTTGGCAAAACACACTTCTATTGGGAACCCGGTGGAGGATCCGTCTGCTGTGTTGTGTGTGGACCCTAACACCATTCTTGGTTATGTTTCAGTTGCATGGTGATTCTGGAACATGCCGTCCCGATGCCGTGTGGCAGCAGTGACCTCTGGGAAAGTCGTGGGGGGGGGGGGCACCCAGACTCAGCAGAAACCAACAAGCCAGAGATTTCTCCTGGGAAGACAACTGCTACCACACCAAAAACTTCTTGGGTTTCCAATTGAAAAATTGTAAATAATGCAGAAATATGTTTTTCAGATGCCAGCTTTTATGTATTTTGACTATTTAACTACTGTGTTATAAAAATATTCAGTGTAAATACATGCGCATGTATTACTTGTGATGAATCGCGAGGTCTTACGCTACAGCACACTCACAAACGTGAAGACCAACCAAAGATTTAGGCTTTATATGATCAGTGCAGACACAACAGCACAACTGATGTCAGCATAGATCACACTACATAAATACATGTAAAAATGATACGTTAAATATTGCTGTTGAGTTTACGCTACTAAAGCGTAGATAAAGGTTTTATTTATAAACCCCCCCACGTAAAGGAAGGCAGAGAGTAGTTCAAAATTGAAAGGTTGACAGAAAAACTGCACACATTCTGGGAAAGTGTAGTTTGCCATTTTATAACATACTCAAATGTGTTTATATGCAAGTAACGCACTTGTTTAACTGATGTAATTTTAATAAATTGTGTATACTCTTCTCGACTGTTTTATTTCACGCTGCTGAGTGTATACTCAAACGGGGAAAAAAAAATAGGGGAAATTACAAGGGTCAAACGCTAGGGTATTTGCAAATATATAGCTTTACACAAAAATAGAGAAATTACTAATTTATTAAGACATTACTGTACAAAGAGCTTATTCTGCATTACAAAATCAGCCCAATGGAGGAACAAAAAATATTCAAAATCCATACAGAGCCTGAGTTGCTTATAACTGCATAACTACAAATAACTGGCAAATTCCATTGACTGAAGGTTAAACTGCCCCAAAATATTAACACTGCAGTATGTCATGAGCTAACAGTGCAAAAGTGACTCCAACTTCCAAATAAAACAGCGCAAAACTGAAACGTTTTACAGAATAGCGATAACGCTAAATTATGGGTAGTAAATGGCAACACATTTAGTCACATGTCTAGAAATGCTGCACGTTACTAGTGAGACACACACACACTAAAAACGTTAAGTTGTTAACCTCAGTATCCGTCCCTGCTCAGATACCACGGTGCCTGACTAAGCACAGTTTAATAAATCCTATGCGTTGATATTTAAGAGTGACAGATTTAGCCCAAGTCTTGTTCCAGCTTTTAAATCCCCCATTTTTTGTGATGCAAAAGATGACAACTACAGTAAATTCCTGCTGTCCTGCTTCTCTTCTGTAGGGTATGATATCCTCAAGTGAAATTGTCACCCGTTCACCAAAAAGCGATTCTTGTACGTTTGCATCCTGCCAAATCCCCTACATTCCATTTCACGTGAGCGTGCAGACAACATTTGTCCTTTCAATTAAAGAGAGAGAGAAAAAAAAAGAAGTTTTTCTGCACATCATTAGCTAAAGGTTACACAGGGTCATTACACAAAAATAAAACACTATACTGTTCTCTGATCTTTGAACCATGGCTGGAAAGCACTTTACATTTTTTCTGAAACACTTAAGAATAAAAGTTTTGCCTGTCTAAACTGTGAACTTCCAACAATAAATCCACATAAATATACACTTTATTAAGAAGTTTTCAAGCTTTAAAACGTGTAGAACATGGAACACAAACATTATGTAGTAAAGCGCTATGAATTTTATAAAACATCCAGTGACCATTCAAGTACAAAAGACTCCAGCATTTGGCCAAAAACAACAACAAAAAGAAGTTCCCTCCACAACCGATGCCTCATCCTCTTCAGTCTCTGATCTGCTGGGAAGTTAAAGACAAGATCCGTTTGCTAAGCAGGCTGTTGTGCTGCTTCAAGTACTCAATCAGGTCTGCTTGCTTTTCCACCACCTCATCCAAATTTGATCCCTCCCTGAAAAGTAAAAAAAAAAAAAAAGAGTAAACCATCACAACTGACCATTTCTGGCTTGTGTTACTCAGAGTACCAATACCCAAAGACATATGAATTATGGGCATTATTAAAAACTGCTAAGCTGACAAGCAGGGAAAAAAAAATAATGTGTTGGAGAAGGGGAACAAAAAAAAAAAACATTTCAAAAGTTAACATGCAACAGATGCCAATTTTTGACATGAACTAAATACGACATATCCGCGACTTTTCCGAAAAGTCAGATGGAATATCTGTACGATTTCGCCCTGGCGTAGGAAAGAGGTCCTTGGAGGAGTGTTTACTCTGGCAGATGAGCATCTGTGGGATGCTAGTGATACGTTATCCTCCAAACTGACCCATCCTCTTTGTAGATGTTAATCCTGCCGTAGCAGGTCACCGCGGAGTGGTACGGACCGCAGATTCTTTTCCGTGGGCCAACACATTAAATGAAAACGAGGAGGAGGAAAAGAAAAGGCGCCTTTGAGCACAAACGTGTTTGAGGAGAAGGATGGGGGGGGGGAAGAAAAACAAATAAATAGAAAAATACAAGCCCTGAAGTGCTGCACTCCGAACCTAGCACAAAAATTTGCGGTTGACGATTTTAATACCATGCCAATGGTTACTGGTCTCTAAAGTAATTTAAAATTCTTTCACATATCTTGTGCAAAAAAATAAAAAAAAAAAAGGCTTCTAAAGACAACATTTTGTAATAAATATTTAATTGGGTAGTTTTTATTTTTGGAATCTGCAGGCAATGGTGCAGAAGAG